AGCAGGCAGGGATAGTTATACACACTAAGCAGAATGCAAACCATGGGGCAGTGGGTTAATTTAAAAGTATACATCAAATTAGCCCTCTGTAATGATTTCTAGAGGCTCTCACTCAGATATATTTCTCATAACTTCAAGTGTTAATAACTAAACACTTTTATTTTATAATAAAGTAATAGTTACTTTTATAAAATAATCTAAACATTTTAATTTAATTTCTCAAATTAAATTTAAAAATTAAATGTTTAAATGATATATAAAGCTTGCCCTATTATAAAGGAAAAGCAGTAACATGGTGATTTCAGATTCAGGTATTTCAAAAAATTTAGACAATGAAACAAATAAAAAAAGCAAAGATTAGTTACTTCTAAAGTGTCCTTATGATAAAATGGAAAAGAATTCCCATGCATGAATTCTAAAATCATAGCTAACTTTACAGTTCATCAATCGGATATACCCTGCTCTCACATTTAACTTATTTGTAAATGCTTCTTCAAGGCTACCTAAACACTTACTAATTGGTTAAACATGTTGCCTATATTAATTCCTGTTAAAGAAACTTGAGGTTCACCTTTGTTTTTTGGTAGTGATGATATACTTTTAAAGTATTCATTGTTTTAGCAAAGGTGTTTATGAGGTTCTCAAAACATTTTAAAAATGGTTCAAGGGACAATGTATAGCCCTTCTGCCTTGAAAATGTTCACTATCAGATTTTGCTAGATAGATTTAGTTTTCTCCTTCTGAAACTCTTTTCTCACTCAAATAACTAAGGAATCTAAGATGTTTATAATATAAAAAACAAATTTATATTTATTTCTTATACATCTGCAAACACATCAAAAAGAACATGTACTTTAGATAGCACAAGTTATTCATTAAAACTTTTTCTTGATTGTGTATATGTGTGTGTGTATATGATAGATAAATTTTCACGTCATTTTAATTTCCCAAAGAAAGGGATTCTAAATAAAAGATATTAAAACATTCCTGGAAGGATGATCAGTTTGATTACACAGTTCAAGAGGCAAAATGTCTACTGAAACAAAACTTCAAAGATAAGTATAGAAAAATGTTTTAGTTGCCTGGCTTTTCAAATCTCAGTTAAGAGAGAAACATAACATTTAATTTAGAGAACAACAATTTAATCTTTAGAAAGGATTATTTTTAATACAAAAATGAAGGAAAAGTCCTCATATTTTATTGATATTAAAACTTGAAAAGTATCATTAAAAATTTTAAACTATATCGATAAAAGAAAATTCACTAATAAATCTAGGTGTAAAATGTCTGCTTATTAAAATATTTTGATTACAATAAACATACATAGAACATTATCAGCATTGCCCGCACTTACAAATCATCTTCCACAACCACTAAATTCTTTATAGAATTAAAGCACATAAAATTAAGCATATAAATTTTAAGTAAGAATCTCTATGATGTTTCTCTAACTGAAATAAAAATATGGACTATACAATATCCCTAGATTCATTCTGTAAATCAGTATAATTTAATAGTAGCTTCAAATAAAGTTTGTTCAACAGCTAGTATTTCTAAGGCATCAAAAACCCTTAACTCAAACAATTCAAATTAGATATTTGTGCCCTATCTTACCTTAACTGGACTCTCTACGGAATTACAGATTTTATATTTGTGCAGTGTGACTGCATTTTCTAATTCTGACAAGTAGCTAGTTATGTAAAACCCATATCACACTATGTGAGAAAGAAAAAAAAAATCACAATACCACCACTTTTATTTTAGGGTGACAACAGACCAAATGTAACTTGAAGCATCTCAACAATCTAAGTAACTTATTGCTCTAATACAATTGGGAAAGATACTTTCCCTTTACTTTTATAGAGACAATTATTGATATTAGCATCTGGTTTGTCAAAATGGCAACTAACTACTCAAGATCTCAAAGTCTCTTTTCTTCTAAACACAAAGAATAATCCTGACTTTAGCTAGTAAAATTGTCTTGAGCCTCCAAACAATGAAAATGCAAGATAAAACCAAAGGGTTTTGCAAATATTCATGGCATTCTGAAACCTCTAGACAGAAGATTATGTGGGGAGTGCCTCTCTTTTCAATTAATAGATTAATAATAATTTTATCTAATCAATTTTGATTTAACAGTGGTTTCTGGCATTATTTTAATGAATTCTTAGAAAGTTGTAATTGTTTGCAAAATGAGAAACCACAAGATGATGTATTCCAATAATTCAGATGCAATGTGGTTATGGAGATTTTACAAAAAAGCACAGAGAAAAGCTCAATTATGAACACAAGTTACCATATAATAGACTATAAAATACTAATTTATTTATACAGTATGGCAAAAAAACTCCATTCCATATAAGAAGCTTAACAATTCAGCTCCAACTTTAATCCATTTCTATAAATCATAAAAACAAAGCAAAATAGAGGTTTATTTCAGAAACACCATATACCTGTGGAAAAGTAACACAAGTAATTTCTACTCAAGATTAACCTTGATCTCAATAGAGAACCGCTAACAACTTACATGGCACATTTAAAATTTGAAAATACTAGAGATATCTAAAATATCTAAAATAATACAGCTGATAGATGTTTATGATGAGTAAACAATTCCTGTTGAATAATACAAATAAATTCAAAAGATGAAAACTGACTCAGGATTTTAAAATATTTTCATTTCAAAGGCAAGAAATTATAGCATAAGAATAGGCTGGACTTTAAAAATGAATATATATGTAAAGTTTTCCATGGTCTTGGTGTGTGCGCCTCTGCCCCCATGGCTACTGCTTATCCTATGAAAGAATCTTCAACACTGTTTGCAATTTCCAACCAGAAGTCCTCGATGTACTTAAAGCCAAATTGATTACTAGGTATTTTACAGCTTTTACAAAATGGCTGTAAAATCATACTGTGGGCAAGCATAAGTTTGATCTCACTATACAGATTTCATAACTGTTCAATCATGCTATATACCATTACACCTCACACACCTTAAACTATTTCCATTTTTCCATAATTCCTCCCAAAGTCAGCTTCCACAGCAAAGCAATGTAACGTGAAAAGTTCCTGGGAGGGCTTATTACAGACAACAACGCTTGGATACAAGCTAAGCTATACACATATCCATCTTCTGTTCAGCTTGTTTATCCCTCTTCTCCATCACTCCTAAAGGTGGGTGCACTTGAGTAATGGAAAGAGAAGGCTCTTCCATCACCACACCCTCCCAGCACCTCTGCTTTAGGTTCTCTGACAGGGAGTCTGTGTAGGTGATGAAAACCATAAGAAAAGAGAAGCTGTCCCTTTAAAATGCCCTGCTCTGTCCCATATCCCACGTGGAACCAACATCAGCAGCACTTTCCCATTAACATCAATGTGATGCAAGAGGCACCATCCTTTTATATAGATAAAGCCAGAAAACCTCAGCCTAACATTCCTTAGTGAGGATGAACAGGTGAAGTAAACGTGATAGGAAGGGAGAAACCAAGCAACTTTCCACCCTCCCCAAAAGGTACTACAGCCTTGCACTCCAGTCGCTCTGTGCAGTATCACCTCTTTACCCCCTCCTTTGAAGAGCCCAGTTTAAAGAAAGGAGGGAGGCACTAACAAAACCTGAAGCATAAATGCGACGAAAATGCGATCTAAAGCCGGAAAGGTTTATTCTTCCAATCACACATATTAACTCTATTAAGAAAATGGCATCACTTTCCACTAAAAAAAAAAAAAAAACCAAAACAAAACAAAAAAACCACCCAAACCTCGCAAAGATCATTAAAAAGGAGTTATAAAATAGCAACTATAGTGTTTATCTTATCTCAGATCAGTCCACATTACCAATAAGTTTAGCAGTTTCTGCACTACCACCTCCCCCCTCCCTCCCCCTGCTCCTCTAGCATCGGATTTTCACGTTTTCTCATTGTCGGTTGAGTTATAAAAGGCTTTTGCTCTTCGAAAGTTTTAAAAAATAAATAAATATTAACTCCTTGGTCTCTGCAAAGTCAAAATGGACTTCAGGGGAAAGGCGGTTCATACTTTTACCTTTAGCGAGAAAAGGGGGAGCATCCTGGATTTTTAGGGATTTTTTGCGATTTTTAAAAAATTTTTATTTGGTTATATGCCTGAGTTCTCCCTCCATTTTGGTTGTTTATGATACTGACAACAAGCTGTCCCTGCTCTGTGCCGATCTCCTGCTTTCATTTAGCACCCCCTCCCCCTCCCCCCTCGCAGCCACACACCCCGGGCTCACACCTCCCCGCAGACCCCGCACCCCGATCCCGACTCGCCCACCTGAGGAAAGGGCAAAAACAAATTCATTTCTCCAGAAAAGAAAAACCTCTTTTGAAAAAGGGGCAAAGTTACCCCAAGTCACTCAAAGTGCCCCCCAAATATTGCCGACCGTGGGTTTCCGCCAGGCCCTTTGGGAAGCGACCTTCCTCCGGGATGTTTTGGTGGAAAATGCGGAGAGTTTACTCTCAAAACTGAATTTATATTAATTTTTCCCTTATTTTTCGGGTCTCTAATGTCTTCCGCTCTCGCTGCTGCCGCTGCCGCTGTCACAATATTCACAGCACCA